TCCCCTCTCTCCTCTGTCCTCTCTGTCTTCTTTTTCTTTCCTTTCATTCTTTTTTCCTTAGAATATGCTCTTGACAGTGATCTGGAAGGAATTTTATGTCATAACCTTCATTATCCCTAGAGCTGATGTGGGGGTGATGGAACTCTACAAAGACAGTTGTGTAAGTGAGCCCTTCGGCCTTTCCTCACCCTCTTCTTGGTTTTTCCAGTTATTTTTCCTGCTTGCTGAAGGTCTGCCTTGGTGCTCTTGTGAGCCGTAGGAGCCTGGGGCAGATTAGTTTTCCCCTTGGCTGCTGTTTGGGCTGTATTTGGGGGACAACAGTTCAGAGATTCTTCTCCAAGGTAGTTTGATCTCATCCCTCTACTGTTCCCAGTTTGGAATAATCTCTGTAATTATGGTCCATAGATCCAGTGCAGGAAGGATGAATTCAGGAAGGAACCCTATAGGGTAAAAATAAACCTAAGACATGGAATTTAAAGGCGTCTGTGCTCTCTGGGAAGCTCAGGCAGACGCAGTGTGATGAGCAACGTAATACATTGTAACAGTGTTTTCAGTGTAGAATAAGAAGCATTTCTGTGTAAAGGAGACTGATTCAGACTCCATCCTACCAAAGCAGTTTCCTACCTTTGTTTGAAACTCATATAAAAGTCATTAAAAAGGCTTGAGATTGAGTGCTATGGAGGTATGTTGCCAGTGTCGAGAGAGGGAAGAGAGCATTAGGGGAAGGCTTCCTGGAAGAGGGGGGCTTGAAGTTGCCCCAGAAGGTGAGTAAGATTTAGAAGTGCGCACCAGAGAGTGTGGCCAGGGCACGCCTGCGGAGGCTGCAGAGCGGCGGGGGCATGGCGGGAGAAATGAGCCTCCTGAAGGGCATGAGTGTGCCCAGGAGTTTGTGAGGGAGATCGCTGGACATGCATTTGCTCTGGGTGCATTCTGGTTGCACAGATTGCTGGTATCAACAGCCCAGAGCAGACAGGAGGAGGAAAGGGTCCATTACAAAGGTAAGTCTCACTGGTTCCTCGTGTGGTTTCCTCTTGAGCTGTCCTAAGAACACAGCGTCCTGGGAAACTCTCCTTCATTCTTCCAAGGTCCGCAACTCGGGGCCAGAAACGTGCTGACAGCGTCAAGCTGGACTTACGGATTCTAAAATTCTCCAACTTTCACTGTTTCTTTCCACTCTGCTCAAGCATGGTCAGAGCTTGCTTCGAGTGGAAACCCAGGATGCACTGAGCTGAGGAGCAACCAAAGTGAGACGTTTACAGCACCTAGCCTTTCCAGTCTGGTGGCCCTCGGCCTAGATGCCTGTCTGCATGGCAGAGCTTCCACGCCTCCATGATTAAACGTGGAAATGATGATAACTATTTTTTTCTTTCAGGGGAATTGATCCTTATGACAAGCCAAACACCGTCTACATTGAACGGCACGAACCCTCTGGTTACTCCACAGTTTTCCGAAGTACTGACTTCTTCCAGTCCTGGGAGAAGCAGGAAGTGGTCCTTGAGGAAGTGAGGGACTTTCAGCTGCGGGACAAGTACATGTTTGCTACAAAGGTGGTGGTAAGTTGATGGTGCTCAGGAGTAAACTAATTTGGCATTTCTTTTCTGAGGTTTGGCTTCTGTGATCACACAGATGAGTTCGCACAGCAGGGCCCGGATTGCGTTGTCTGGGGAGCTTGACTGCACGGTGCTGGGCAGATGAACATCCCAGAGGGCTTGGAAGGGTCTGGGAGGTGGAGGAGTGGAGAAGCTCTAGGGATTTGGTTGTTTTCCATGCATCCTTGACAAACACATATTTCTTTGAAATCCCAATGAAAAGAACTCAGAAGGGAGGGGTAGAGCTCAGTGGCATTTTTCTTTAATTCCACTGCCTGATTTCCTTTCAATTTAGGCTAACTTCTTTGGGAATTTCCGACCCATGTAATTTACATGGCTAATAGAATGTGTAGTCAGTGGCTAGTGAGAGTTAGTGCTCTAAGAAAAGCAGTAATTAAGCTTCCAGCTGTCAGTAAGTAGCTTAACTCACAGCCTTTGGGAAAATTTTCCTCTTGATTTGATGGGTTGGAGCCAGATGCTGAAATGGAGAGCCTGCTCCTCTAACAGAGCTTGATTATTTAATAGGACTTGCCTTGCAACTGTATCAAGTTGTAAGTTGCAACTAAACTGCACTGTGTAAAGGAGAAAACAGGCCCAGCCAAGAGCAGACTGGACTGCTATCCTGGGGGGGCAATAGGCTCACTTTCTTAATGATAGCCGTTGGCTCCGTGGCCCCAGGCTGTGCTGAAGGCCTCTGGAAACTGGGAGGTTGCTCTGCTTTCTATCACTGTTGACCTCAGGGACAACATGAGATGCAGTGTTTTCCTCCAGGTTCTCATTTATAGGATTGGCAGCTGGCCATACAGAAGCAGGTCAATCCCCTTGGGATTCTGGGTATAGAGAAGACACCCAGCAGGGAAATCAGGGAGTAAGGTTGGAATGAGGAGAGAAGATGTGGGTGGCTAAAGGCAAGAGGGGCTCCCACTACATATCTTGGGAAATGTTTTTTTAAAAATATATCTTATTGATTTCAGAGAGAGGAAGGGAGAGGGAGAGAGAGAGTTGAAACATCAATGATGAGAGTCATTGATCGGCTGCCTCCTGCACGCCCCTGACTGGGGATCTAGCCTGCAACCCAGCATGTGCCCCGACCAGGAACTGAACCACGATCTCCTGGGTCCTAGGTCCTAGGTCCTAGGTCATCAGCTCAGTGGCGTCGGACATGGCAGCCATGCTGTCCGGGCTGTTTTGGTTTTTTTAAACCACTAAACTCTGACAGGTTTTCTTTTCTCAGCCTGTTTGCCTTGAGTCACCCTCTGGATCATTCCCTTCCTGCCTTGCCTGTCAGCCTTTTTTTCTTTCACACTCACACTCACACACACGCCCCGTGGCAGCCTAAGAACACAGCATCCTTGAGCTTCCTGGGGCAGGGTGTGGTGGGAACTCAGAGGTGAGAAATCAGCCCTGAGGACTAGTACCTTATGACATCCAGTTGGGCAGCCTTGAGTTTCAGTGCTTCCTCCAGTCCTTCAGTGTTCGTAGGTCTTTTCTGTTTTAGTTTCTTGGGTCTAAATTTTTGGTATGATTTTAATTTATTTTTTTAAGTGAGAGAGAGAAGGGGAGGGAGGGGGAAAGAGAGAGAGAGAGCGAGCAATTTGTTGTTCCCCTTATTTATGCATTCATTGTATGTGCCATGGTTGTATGCTACCCAGCCAGTTGGCTCGATTTTAATTTCTTAATTTTAAGGCACAGTGGTTGATTCCCAGATTTGTCCTGTCCTGGCTGATGTGGACAGCTGTTGTACATTACTGTTAACTCCATTATTTCTTTCTTTTTTTTTTTTTTTTTTTAAATATTT